AAATCTACTCTAAAGTTTGACTTCTAGTGCAGTAGGAAATAAGAGCTGCACCAATCTGATACTGAAGAACTGGATCAGATATTTGTTTGCAAATATCGGTTCAGTCAGTCTTCAGTTTGGAGATATAAACTGATGTAATAAGAGTATTAACTGGTCGGTCTGATAATTGACCCAGAAAGTCTCATGTTTGAATTTTTATTTAGACATAGTTCTTCTTTGTATTTATATGATAGGTAAATAATAAACACATAACATATCTGAATCAGTTTTGTTTTACTTTATTTTTGTAGAAAGGAAATAAATGCTGCTATCAGTCTCTCCACTGGTATGAATTGATATCGGTTGGGGGTCCATCACCTAGTTGTTTCCACGGATATGTCATTGCTCTGTCTGAAATGTTCCACAGCTCTACCTTACATTTATTCAATGACATTTGTTTTTATAGCTCAAAAAACCTGGAAAAAAGACATTCTGACTGAGTGGTGTCGGCCTTTCAACAGATCTGACCTCTAACTTGGTCTGGTTTGGTCTCCATGAAGATAGAAAAGTTTAATACCACACTGTGAAACATTCCAGATAAAGCAATAACATCTCGGAGCATCCGCCAGAAAAGTTACACAATACATCTTTAAAGCTACAGTATCGGAATGGGTATTGGAACTGAAAAAGCTGGAGCGTTGGGATGCATTGGGAAGGAATTTAGTCCAAGCCAGCTGTTCATTTGTAAATTATTCACAATCACAAATACTGTAGCTGTATTTTCCACATATTTTTTTCCCATAAATCTTTCTTCTAACCGTTACAATGCATTTGCCAATAGATTGCTACAACTTAAAACTATACATTTTACCAAACTTTCTAGCAATCTCCATTTGTATTATGTTCAAAATGTTGTGATAATGTAATTTTGCAGTTAAAGGAGACCGCACTTAGGGACATAGGAGGAACTAACTAAGCCTCCCGGCAAACTAGAAAATCCATCTGTGTTTGTATTTAATGTAATCAATTCTATTCGACTCTAGTAAGGAAAAAGTCCATAGGGCTTTGAATTGCACAATCTAGGAGCCCCAAAGGATTCAACACTGTAAATGGTTACTGTATCTGGGCCATGGATTATATTTGTTAACCTTTTTCACTTTAAATGTTTAGCCAATATGACGTTTGAAGATATTAGGAAAGTCCAAGAACACTGGAGTGGTCCACCGAGGTATTTTAAGTAGAGTCCTCTGTCCTCAACTTTGATGAGTCTTTCTTTTGCTTTCTGTGGTTATAAAGTCGTTCCTTATGCAATCTTTTACCTGGTGTTACATTACAATAGACCAGACTTTTGTGTAGCTTTTGACAACTCTTAACTTTGAGCCATGGGATTCCTTTGTTCTTTCTCCATTAACTAACATTAGCTGTGCCTTTTTGCATAATTGAAATTTGATTTATGGGTGAAAGATTGACAGTATACAGCCAAAAATGCCCAAAGTGCCACTATGTTGTGCTTTCCTCAACACAATATTGATGTTGTTTTTGATACGTTTTGTTAAGAAAATGAAAAATAAGGAAATGATTGAGGTTTCTGAATATACAGTGTGCAAGTTTGAAGGACTGGACTGTATCCCACTATGCAGCTTTTCTGATGGAGAGCCTGCCGTGTGCTTTTTGCCAGAATGTTTTAACAGTATGGCATTAAACTTATCTATCTCCATGGAATTCAATTATCTCCCTGGAGACAACAAGCAGGTGACAAACATAAACTGAAGAAGTGGACTAAGGCCCCATGAACACTAGTACGTATTTGAGTCGTTTTCGTTGTGGACGCAGTGCTCGTCCACACTAATCCGATGGAAAACGGCTCCAGAGACGGAAAGATCTGGTGCCGCCAGCTCCCACGAATTCATCTGAGTACTGATCTGATCTGGCACTGTGAGGACGCCTGAAAACACTGATATACTGATGTAGGTCTACGCGTCACAAAGTAATTCACCTCCAAAACGCTAAGAGGCTAGATTATATGTCCATTCATATGTACGGTCTATGTGTATGACCTGCAGACGTATAACATGAACCATCTACAACACGATAGAAGCATAGAACAGACTCACCATTAGCAGACCACCCCTCTGTCACAGAAAGAACACTCATATTCGAGTGAATTGTGTCCTTTAGTTCAACAGAAGCTGAACCGCATCGAGCGAGCTGTTTTTTGAGCGCTTATTTTATGCAAATTAGTCATGCGGTTTTAAGTTTTGATTGTGTAAAATGTAAACAAATTTGAGCAAATCTGTGTGGATAGGGAAGGCTTGCAGACATAGAAATGACATGTCTGGACGCAGATTGTTTCCAATATGGTGATACGGTCATTGGGTTCAGTGTAAACGTAGTCTAAGTGAGTGTGACGTCATCCATAGCGTTTGGCTCCAGTCAAATGAAGCTCACAAGGCTACGGGTTGTGATGGAAATTTGTATTGTGGAAAGATTTCTCTCAATCTGTCTTTGTGTAAATTAATGTGATTCATATCTGAGACCCAGACCAGTCATTAACATGTGCAAAGTCTCAGCAGACATAACTGTCTCCATCCTCAGGAAACTATGCGTTGTCTTATCTGTCCTTAAATGTATGTTAATTTAGCAACAGCCTCTGAAACAAAAGTCACCCTGCTTTGATATCTATGTAACTTGTATTTCTGTATAAATACTCAGAGCTCAAATGTTCTGAGGCAGATTTGAGTCAAATGGAGTAAGGACATACTGCTGGTTAAGAGAGGATGTTGGTCTCTCTCTCCAGGGCAGGCCTAGTCCCTGTCCATATCTGTTGTAACAAGAATAACCTTTGTCTATATTCCAAAAACTCATCGGGCTTCGCAAATGGATGAACTATTTACCATCAAGAGAGTTATCATTTTTTCCACAACAGGGTTATAGGGGCAAATTAGGATCAGACATTCCGTATTAGGGATAGGAATCTATTTATGGACAAAATACCAAATTAAAAACACCAGGATCAGGTAGAAGGGGTTAATACAGCCATTTTATGTCCAAAATGACAAGAGAGAGGTGACAGTTTTTCCATGTAAAGTCAATTGGAGCCAGAGTCAATGGAGCCAGAAGCGCCCCCATGCTCACTTCCTATTTGGAACACGGCGGTGAGCAGGTTAGCCATGTCCATTTATGTAGACAGCCTATGGCCAAGAATGAAAGCATATCTGTGGAGAGACGAAGCCGTAAAACTGCCTGTTTATCAAGGTATTTTGGAGCTATAAAAACTGTCAAAGCCATATAACTGCCACATTAACGGATATAAGTTGGATGCTTCAAATATTTTAACTCTACGTGCAATTTTTTATGCTCCAAAAAACCTTTTGACAGGAAAGACAAACCTCAACACCACGACCTTGTGAGCTGGAAGTGACTCAAGTCCACAGTTAATCCAGAGAGTAAATACCATAGAGTATGATACATGGGTCATCTTGCTCCGGCCAAGACAGCAGTCAGGCTAAATCATGCACGACACTCAGCAAGCATTATACCCCAAGGGCTCAGCACGTCCCCGGACTTTAAATACCAGCCATAAATACTCACTTAACATCCACAGGGTTTTCATAGCACCGGCAAAAAACGCTCTCGTCCTTTTTCAATAACACATTTGACAGAAGGACAATGCTGATCTGAAGAGTTTTAACCAGTAAGTAAGAGTAATAATGGAAGGTGCAGATTTCATTAATGAATGGTCAGTGGGTCAAAGGGTCAAAATAGTACCAGCAGATCTTTAGCAGCATGTACGTGTATAAACAACTAGTAATAGTAGTGGTAATGCAGTATCTTTAGTAATCCTAGTAGTAGTAGAGAAGTTTAGCATCAGTAAAGTAAGTTTTTTTGTCCAATAATGCTCATTTGCCCTTATGAACATTTATATTAATAGATTATTTATTTATTTATTTATTTTTTAACAGATCAAGGTTCAAGGTTTACTTTCTTTTAATACTTGACAGTTTGTTCTGCTCACTAGTAGGCTCCTTCAGAGAACCAATTTGTCGATAGCATCATATTCATGTTTTCAACTTCCTGACAGACATAGCATGTGGACTCATAGCACGTGTTTCCCTTTTAAAATATAAAATATTTTCTTTTAGATTGATAAATTAAGACCATTGCCACGGCAGTTATTATTCTGAAAACCATGGATTGCGCTAATCAGAGTGAACTGTAAATATTTCCAAACAAAAGTAGTAGTGGTACCATATTAAAAGTAAAATAAAGCTAGACTATATAAAATTTAAAGTTGTAATACATTCAAAATTCTTTTCTAGGCATTATGTATATTTTATATATATCACGCATACTTGAAGGAGTCATTTTTATAGCAATATTTTAATAGTATTTGAGGAGTACACATTCACAAAGCTTTTATTTTAAGTGTTTCCTCATTCTGTTGAAACATCAAATAGACTATAGCACATTTCTACACTGATAGCCCTCCCATTATCAATAAAAGCATACACTAAATGGGCTCTTGTGACTCTACCTGTGCACTCTCTTCTCACTGTGAAACTGTTTCTAGGGTGTTATTACTTCCAAATCAATTACTAATGCACACACTAATGTCCCAGTCCATGATTAGATTTAAATTGGTTACAGCAACAGCAATGCCTGATCAATAGCCTAATTTAGCATTGATCAATAAACAGGCCATGCAATAAAATATTGTTATGAGTGAACCATAGCAAAGCACCTGAGTAAGAGAGGAACACAGAGTGGAGCAGCTAGGGGCTAACTATCTGGGATTGGTTGATTCCTCTGTGATATAAACAATCTATACTAAAGGAATTCGCTTACTCTTTTTTCAGGTCTTGATGATTTAACTTTGTGGAATCGTTATGTCCCAGCATTAAGTGTTATTAGACTACTATTAGTTAGCTAAATGGGCAAAAATAATTTAAACAAGAGACAATTACAATTCACAAATTCCCAGCAACTAAATCTAAAAGGAGTAAAAGATTTGGAGGACTCACCAGATGGTTGGTGGCTCAGAGCCCTCTACCTCCAGGTAGTCGTACTTCTCCTCAGTCTGGAAGTCTGTAAAGATGACAGAGATGGTGTCTCCAGGCTCGGCCAATAGGATCCAAGTACAGTCGGCCTGATTACCATAGTTGTTGGGGTAACCGGGACTGGTCACCACCCCACTGCCGCCCCCCACAGTGCCCCCACATGTGTCCTCAGCTGTCAATCAAATCAGAGAGACAAATAGAAAACCTGGGTTAGGGAGAGGAGGAGGGACCGAGGTGCGGACTTGATCTTTTGGACAAAATCATTTAGATTTACTCTACTAGATAAATTAGTTTGTAATAAATTAGCAAATGTTGTTTCTTTGCCAATTTGATTATATTTTTGGCCTAAAGCTACTGTCATAATTTCTCAGGTGCTTAACAGGTCAGCCAGCCCTGCTCCCCGCCTCTCTCTCCCACTGCCACATGACTGTACCTCAGATTTAGTAGGCTGCAGTTACACTCTTCATTCAGCAGGTTATTTAATGAAGCATTTTGTTAGCGATGTATGACTTTTTATGAGATGTACTGTCAGATCATAAGCTACACGGAAAATGGAGCTCTATTATATGTTAGATACAGAGTATTTCAATGGGAATATGGTTAAACCCAATAGATTCATTTGAATGAATTTGAAGGAGCCAGTTGGAATCATGATGTTTAGGCCTTAGGCTGCAGTTCCTGTCACACTCAGAGATGCTAAAAATACATGTCCAGTAACAACTTCTGTCTTTGTCCACCAATCACAGAGCTCCGCTCTCGTCTCCTCCAATCACCACCAAGGAACTTTGAGTTTCTCCAATTGGTTGGTTTGGAAATCGACAGACCAACTTTGGTAATAGTTTGAAAACATACAATTATCAGATGTGAAGATTATAAATTTGGAATAGGTTTCATTGTTTGCAGTTCACATCTGACTATTATTGAAAGGACTGATTTACTGTATAACAGATAAAGACACATGGATTGCGCTGTGCACAGAGCATAAATTATACATTTATAATTTATACAGATACACTCACGGAGAATCAACATTCCACAATGGACCTGATCTGTCACTGGGACAGCAAGCATTGGACTCAATTGACTCACGTTACCCCCTGAGGGAAAGGCTTGAATCAAATGCAGTATTAGTCCAAAGTGAATTGAGGCCAGTGCAGTGTTCACTGTCCAAGTGACAAAGATTCAATGAGGAACCCTTTTTTCCTGAGAGTGCACAAAACCAACATTAAACATGGTATAAATTATACCTGTATAATTTATATAAAGACATATACGGCAGTACTATATGTAACAGACTTTTCAGCATATGTTTTCCCACACACCAGTGAGTGCAGTTCAGGCTGACAGTGATGCTTATGAAGCATCAAAGCCGCATGTGGATATAATCAGTGTTGAGTGAAGCCAGAGCCAGACTAAAGTACACTCACTGAGAAGCAGGAAAAAGCACATGTTTGTACAGTGCACACAGCACTGTCAGCTAGACATGCACACCCCATGTGGAGCATGCATGTACAGATGACAGCGATAAGTATAGAGACCAGGCCAGTCTCGACCCCAGCCTCAGGGGCTACAACTGTGGTCCTCTACACTTCAACACAAGAATGAGTTCAAACATCAGCATATACTGGGATTGGACGAACAGTGCACTGAGTAGAGACAGGAAATACAGAGGCTTACAGGGATGGAACTAAAGAGACAAACTAGGGGAGAACACAAAGAGATTGATATAGGAAACAGATTGTTACATAATGTACCAAATAGGAACAAAGAACAGGATGAAACAAAACTGAAATGAATCATAAACTAAACTAGGCCTTCTGTTATAAACCATTGTGAAATCAGGAGCCATGGACAAATCAATAATTTTACACTTTAGAACAGCAGTGTGTTGAAACAAGCTGCAGATGAAAACCAGGCATGCTCTGGCCACATACAAACCACAAATCATCCACACGCACTGATGCAGAGACACAGAGACAGAGAATCGGCAGGCAGTCCCACAGACATTTGGTTATCACGAAAACACACTCATTCTTATACAGTATCTAGTCAACTAGTCTCTTCTCTCTGTAAACAAACCCAGGTCCCCATTGGACTAGCAGGGGGGCAGAGGGAGCATGTACACGGCAGGAGCCTGAGCAGCAGGTAGTATGACGGATGTGAAGGATGTGGCAGTTTTATTCTTTATTTATTTTTTGTGCCAGTGGGGCGTCCATTGGTATCTAGACAACATAAACACTATAATGCGGTACCACACTTAAACCACAGGACAGGAGCGTTCTGCCCCACAGGGTATTGACATTTCTGTGACAGTTGACAGACAGGTGCAGAAGGCCGTGAGGGGTGTGGAGTTAAAGAAGAGGAAATGAACTCACAGAAGTAGAAAAGTAGCAGTAGAAGAAGGGATTTAGAGTAAGTAGAGGTAACCATTGCTGTGGTGAACTGGAGTGTAGTTTTGCAGTAGTTTTCAAATTAACAACTACCTTTTGCATTTTGTTCTGTAAAGATTGGCAGTTCAAAGGTAAAATTATCTAAATGCTTCTAGTGAAGGTTAAAAACACAGCTTAGCACTTCTTGTATTACCATATGACCTCACAAGGCTATTTGAGATAAGAGCTTAGCCTAAATATGCAAATGTGTGTGTTAACAACTCCAGGAATAGATTTTGATGAGAAAACAACAACATAGTAGATCAGAATAGCATAATATAGGCCCTTTTCGTTCTAGTTTGTAGGCATGTAACAATATCCAAATCTCTCAATATGATATTTTCACGATATACATCTCACAGTATGACATTTATTGTGATATTCTCTGTAGGGTAACAAGATTATGAATATGCTACTTTTCTGTCATAATCCAAATAATTAAGATCCAAAAGTGTTTAATAACAGCTATTTCATCATTTAGATTGGACTGAGACAGAGCAAAGGATCATGGTATATGTAGTTCTCATAATTTTGTAGCTGTTGCTGCGCCGTAACAATGAATTTTAAGCAAATAAATGTATAATTTGATATACAGTACTGTTATTTTCGTGCAACATCCACTAAATTCAGAGTTTCAGGTGGTTCCTACTGGTCAGAGGCTTTTAGTTCCAAGATCTAGAATGAAAGGAGCTTTGTTCCGGCTGCTATCATACTTCTGAATAAATTGTAATCTATTTATCTGTCGATTTTAGTATGTTTGTCTTGGAAAACTGCGTGTTTTTTAATATATTTAATATTTATTGTGATTTTAGCCAAGCGTGGTGGATGAATTTAACTAATTGTTTATGGAACAAACCATTTTGCACTGGAGCACTGTAACACATTATTTTGCAATTGTGTTTTTTTATATGTGTTTATTGTACATAATGTGCATGAATGAAATGTGAAATGTGGGACCAGCCTCAAATCTGCAAAACAAATTTACCTACGGGTACGAATAAAGCAACCTAACCTAACCTATAGTGATCATTGTGAGACTTCTGACAATATTTCAGTTAGTTACATCCCGTTTGTCAGTATAATATATATCCAGTATTAATCCGTATTATTATACATATATATATGATCCCTTTGAGTCAGAGATTATTTGGTGACAATCTGCATCATAAACCCACCACTAATTACTCACTCACTAAAGCACTACCCACTGCCGCCCCAGACACGATTTCTGACACAAGTAACTAGGCGCTTTTTAACAATTAAACTACAGACAAGTATTCCTCTGAGTGTGAATCCTGATTGGGTTTGGCACATAGGTGGATGGATGGTGCTTCATTGCGTGTCTGTGTGCGTGTGCGTGTGCGTGTGTGTGTGTGAGTGTGTAGGAGGAGCAGCCTGGTGTTTGTGAGCCCCTGCAGTCGTGATGATGTGAAGTGACATGTACAGCGTGCTCACATGGGAACGGTGAAGAGTGCACACACGCAGACCCTAGTCATTAACTCCCATTTTAACTGCAGAGAATCCAATGTGACAGGAAATAAGAATCATTTCATTTCCTATTACTTGGCATAGAAAATGTGAATTTGCTTAAGATTTTAAACAGAAACCCAATTGTAAAGAAATAAAAGGAATGTTGTATTTCAGTAGTTATAAGGTAACCTTGATGATTTCTTGGTTTCAAAGTCAAGATACAATATTTTTTCTCTATTAATGAGTCTTAATTTATATGTTAATTGATCAACAACCTGCATTTTTTTGTATAGGAAGTAGAGAGGCCTAAGATACTCTGCAATAACACTTATTTTAATATATGGCGAATACAGTGCATCAAAATAATAAAAAAATAATAAATTGAGTTGTAAGTAGGGGATGTGCAAAAATATCAAAATATCGATATATCGTATCATTTAATGTGACGATTCAGTATCAATATCGTGGACTGCTGAATCCATATATATTGCCAAGAGTATTTTTTGGTATATTTTACTAAATTATTTTGTTACAGTGCTACAGTTTTGTGTTCGTTCAGTGGAAGGAAATTCATTTATGCAACACATTTGACATTTTCACAGTTTTGATGATTATAATGTTTGTGTTTCATATGAACTTTGCACAAGAAGTGGTTTAACAAAGACTTTCATTATCACAGACATGCTTTAGCCTTTTTTTTTTGTATTGAACCGTATCAAATCAAAAGCTCCCTGTATCGAGATATGTATCGTATCGTGACCTATGTACTGAGGTATGTATCGTATTGGTATCTTCTTAATGATACGGAGCCCTAGTTGTAAGTGTTTTAATATAATCCACTTTTTATCGTATACAAATATCACATGTACAGTAATCTTGTGGGGTCAGTAAAACTTTTGGTTAACTTGTATGTTTAATGCAAAGCTATACTCCATTACTGTGAGAGGGAGAGGGGACCCCAAACCTCCAGAAGGCACTGCACCCAGGAGCACGCTCTTAGACTGAAGGAGCCCCGAAAGTTGTGTCTGCTTGTGTTGCCTTAGCCCCTTATCACATCAGAGCGAGTGGTGCCCTTTTCTTTGCCTTCCTGTCCTCAACTCCCAAGCTGTACCTGCCAGCGCTACAACTGCACTTCTTACATAAGGTACACTCCGATATGAGAAGGTTATGGAAATGCTGTGTGCTCTACAGCCCCAAGTAAACAGAGAAATCACTATGTGCTCTTCTCCATTCGGCCCTGCAGCATTTACTGTAGCGTGTGATTTCTTTACAT